CTGAGTCTGCGTCTGTCTGTCCTCCGTCCGTCGGGGGTGAGTGTGCTCTTGGCACGGACGTTCTTGAGGACAGACAGGAGGAGTTTAGTTGCCTTGCCGCTGCTTTGCCCCATCTCGTGTCCATGCTTGTTGCCCCTGAGGGAGACCCGGATGCACCAGACATCCCGACCCCACGCTCTTACGCAGAGGCGATGGCCGGTCCCTACTCCTCTCAGTGGCAGTCAGCCATGGACACAGAGATGGCTTCCTGGAAGTCCACTGGCACCTACGTCGACGAGGTTCCCCCACCTGGGGCGAACATCGTCAGTGGCATGTGGATTTTCAGGGTGAAGCGGCCGCCGGGCTCTCCGCCTGTCTTCAAGGCGCGTTACGTTGCACGAGGCTTCAGTCAGCGAGAGGGAGTTGACTTCTTCCAGACCTTCTCCCCGACCCCGAAGATGACCACTCTTCGGGTTCTGCTACACGTCGCCGCTCAGCGTGACTACGAGCTCCACTCTCTTGACTTCAGCACAGCTTTCTTGCAGGGCAGCCTGCACGAGGAGATCTGGCTGCGCCGCCCACCTGGCTTCACTGGGTCGTTTCCTCCTGGTACCCAGTGGAGCCTCAGGCGACCAGTCTACGGTCTCCGTTAGGGCCCACCGTTTCCGCTAGCCACGCCCTCGTGCGCCGCCTTTTCCTCGCGCCCTCGTGCGCCTCGTTCCTAGCGTCGCCCCTTCAGGCCCCTCACGGCCCCTCGCGTCGCCCCTTACGGCCTCTCACGGCCCCGTCTTAAGACCCCGCGCTAGCCCCTTAAGGCCCCGCGTCGGCCCCGCGCTAGCCTCTCACGGCCCCCTATGGCCTCGCGCTAGCCCCGAACGGCCCCGTGTAGCCCCGCGCTAGCCTCCCACGGCCCACCTACGGCCCCGCGCTAGCCTCCTACGGCCCCGATTGGCCCCGCGCTAGCCTCGAACGGCCCCGTGCGGCCCCCACGCTAACCTCCCACGGCCCTGTAAGGCCCCGCGCTAGCCTCCGACGGCCCCTTCAGGCCCCGCGCTAGCCTCCCACGGCCCCTTAAGGCCCCGCGCTAGCCTCCTACAGCCCCCAAATGGCCCCGCGCTAGCCCCGACCGGCCTGTTCTCACTGGGCACTCAGACGCTTCTTGGGCAGACGACCAGGCTACTCAGCAGTCGTCTCAGGGTTACACCTTCAGTCTTGGCTCTGGCTCTGTCTCTTGGCGTTCTACTCGTTCCTCTTCTGTTCTCGGCTCCAGCTGTGAGGCTGAGATCTACGCCACGGCCATGGCTGCCCAGGAGCTTCGCTGGCTCACCTACGTGCTGACTGACCTTGGAGAGCAGCCTCGTTCTCCTCCAGTGCTGTACGTACACAACAAGGCAACCATAGCCTTGTGTCAGGAGCACAGACTGGAGCACAGGACGAAGCACATTGCTCTGCGTTACTTTCTAGCTCGAGAGCTACAGCAGCGTGGTCAGCTTCTTCTGCGTTACGTGACCACTGAGGCCAACACTGCTGATGTGTTCACCAAGGCGCTTCCGCCTGTTGACCATCAGCGTTTTTGCACTCTTCTAGGCCTTGTGCCGACTGTTCCTCACTTGCTTACTTCTTGACCTTGCCTATACTGTGATCATTATATATATACCTGCATGTTTGCCCTTGCTAGGTTGTGATCATTGTACCTCTTGCTCTGTTATAAAACTGCATGTGAACTGGTCTTGTGACCGCTTACTTGTGCTCGGAATTTGTGTGGAATCCTCGAGATCCACCCTGAGCTTGTTTGCCTTGCTTTGCCTTGACTTGTCTTGTGACCCCTAGGTCTCCCCCACTTTGCCTATGGGGGTGTGTCAAACATTATATGTTTGTGTGGTTCTAGGCTGTAGTGGGTCACACCATAAGGGGGTACACCAGTTTAGGGTTTCATATTTGTACTGTTGTTCTTGCTAGTCACAGACATTCCTGTTTCTCATTCTGACAACTCCAGCAGGACCGCTAGCTCTAGTACCGCCAGCAGCTCCAGCACCAGGAGCACCTCCAGGCCTAGTACCTCCAGTGCCTCCAGTACCTCCAGCAGCACCAACTCCGGCAGCCCCAGCAGCACCCCCAGACCCAGCAGCTCCAGTACCGCCAGTACGAGCACCTCCAGGACCAGCAGCAACAGTAGTACCTCCAGCTCCAGCAGCACGGCTCCAGCGCCGGGCAAACCACTTGCGCAGCTCCTGCGGAGAGAGTTGCTCCCGCCTCAACAAAGCACCGCCAGAGGCCACATGAGCAGACCAAGCACCCCTAGGCTCCGCACCCCCAGGCTCTGTACCCCTACGCTCAGCACCCCCAGGCTCCGCACCCCCAGACTCAGCACCCCCAGTCTCAGCACCCCCAGGCTCCGCACCCCCAGACCCGGCACCCGCAGGCTAATCGCCCCTAGCAGCACCAGAGTCAACAGCTACCTCGACACGCTCGACTGCGTCTACCTGGGACACACCTGACGGGGCAGGACCCTGAGGGGGGAGAGGGTCTAACGGGGGAGGACCTGGCGCAAGGAAGAGCGGCGGCGGGGGGAGGGGCGCAGTGCGGTAGGGGAAGAGATGGTAGTAAGGCACCGACTCGTCAAAGGTGACGTCCTGGGAGGACAGAACACGGCGCGAGGTGGGGTGGTAAAACTGCCAACCAGGCGCGTCAGGGGGGAAGCCAAGGAAGACGCAGGGAACAGCACAGGGGGACAGCGTGTCCGCAGACAAGTCGCGGACAAACGCCCGAGATCCCCAGACCCGAAACGCAGACGCATCGCCAACCTTCCTGGTCCACCGCAAGGTGGGGGAGGTCTCTGGCAAGGAGACCCGGGGCTGAAGATTGAGCTAATGCGCTTCGTACTGAACTGCAAACGGCCACAGAAAATGGGGAGCAGCCGCATGGATCATGGACGTACGAGCGACGTCCATGACCATGCCAATGCGGCGCTCAGCAATCCCATTTTACTGAGGAGAGGCTGGAAGCGTGAACGTCTGGCGGATGCCCTGTGCACGACAGAAGGCTCCCAGACGGGCAGAGGAAAACTCCCCGCATCTGTCAGAGTGCAGACGCAGAACATGAAAGTCCGAGCCGGAACTCTCTCTGAGCTAGAGACGAGCTGCGCGGATCCAGTCGATCAACACCTCAATGACGTCACTCTTGCTGCGCAAGGGGAACACCGTGGTGTAACGCAAGTAGTCGTCAACCACCAACAGGAAGTAACGCTCGTGACCCTGGCCACAGACGCGGGCGGGGCCTCACACGTCCATGGGAAGAGTCTGCAGGGGAGCCTCTGTCGGAGGAAACTCGAAGGAGTGAGGGGTGGCGCGCTGCCGCCCCTCGACGCAGGGAACGCAGGTAGGGGCAGGCCCCGGAGGGAGGGGAGGGAGGGACCGGGGGAGACTAGAGACAAGGACACGGGAGGCCATGCCTCGGAGACGAGGCAGGGAGGGGTGACTAAGGCGGTGGTGCCAATGGAGAGTCTGGTGGGACGGGAGACGACACGAGCAACGAGCAGAATCAGGACCAGACCTGGACGCTGCAGCAAACACCTGACTTGACGCAGCTACCTGACCAGACTCAGCAACCGGAGGAGACTCAGTAGTGAGTGTGTACAGGCTCGGCCGACGAGTAAACGTGGCCAAGTGTCGGCCCGTCCGAGCACAAGTACAGTGGGTCACCCGCTGACTCGCAAGAGTGAACTGGTCAACCCTCGGATCCTGTAGATCAGCACCACTCACCAAGTTCGTAGAGAACAAGGGGAGGTAGAGACCTGAAAGGGTGCCAGAGGGGGCTGCCCGACACGATAAGACAGTGGAGAAGCTAGCAAGGACAGGACCCCCAGAGGGGTCCGCCAGGGAGACCGCAACCGGCCGACTGAGCGGCGTAAGCATGGTGCGGTCTTGAAAGAAGGAGCGGGAAGCACCCGAGTCAAGGGTGAAGGTGTGTAAGGCCTGAGCCAACGTGGTACCTGAGAGAGCAGACTCACCAGCACCTGGGTCAGCAGACGCACTAGCACCTAGAGCACCAGCCTCACCAGCACCTAGAGCAGCAGCCTCAATGCCCGGGTCAGGCGGAACAAACAGGTTACAGTCACCCTCATCACTAGTAGGCAATGCATACATGGCAGTGAGGATAGCATCATAGTCAAGAGTATAGATATCTACCCGCAGCCGAAGCAGCTCCACCCAGTCGGGGAGCTCAGCCGCGTCGCCAAACTCCGTACGCCATGCGTCGCTGAGATGGGCGAAGTAGCGGGACTCTGCGTGACCAAACGTCCCGCAAGGCTGATCAGTCCGAGCACTAGTGCGAATGACGTATGGACAGCGAGCAGTACCCCGTGACCCGTCACGCTGAGCGTACCACTCACGAAGCTGCTGGGGCGAAAGGACCGCACCCGGACGACGCTGAAGCTGCACCTGGCCACTACAAGCAGCTGCCGAACGACTTACTCCAGGACGACTCCCACTACGGCCACCCCGACAACCCCAACTAGCGTACCACTCACGAAGCTGTTGGGGGGTGAGGGGCTCACGCGGACGGCGCTGGAGGTGCATCTGGACACGCTTGGAGCAGCAGTAGCAGTAGAAAGAGCAGTAGCAGCAAGAGAAGCAGTAACAGCAGTACGGGCAAGGCAGTGCTCACCAGTGGCGAGAAGGGCAGGCGTACGACGGCGGCAATGGCGAGGCCGCTACCACTGTAGGGCGAGGGCTCCGCGGCAGCTGCACGGGCGGCTGCTCCAGGGCGGCTGCTCCAGGTGCGGCTGCTGCAGGGGCGGCTGCCCCAGGGGCGGCTGCTGCAGGGGTGCAACTCAGGAAGGGAGATGATGAGACGGCAGAATCCTACTGCAATAGGGCCCGCACCATCCGAGCGGAGCTGCTGACCATTGAACAGGAGGTCCACATGGCCACGTTTGCTGCCCACGTGCTGAAGGGCCTACCACCGGAATACGGATTTCTTCGCTGCAAGCTTGAAATTTCCAGCCCTGACATGACGGTGGAATGCGTGTGCAACGAGGTGTTGATGAAGGAGTGGACTCTCTCTCCATCGAACAGAGTTACAAGCAGATCACCAGTGATGCATTTGCTTTCTTGGGCGCTGTCAACACCATCGTGGCTACAACGGGGGTCAACGGGAAGGAAGGAAAAGGGGGAAGAGAGCAGACGGACAAGAAGAAGGATGGCAAGCGGGAGAAGAATCGAGCCCCCTTCAAGGGGCGCTGCTACAACTGTAATAAGGAGGGGCACATGGCTGCCAAGTGCCCCAATAAGAAGAAAGATACAACGCCCGCGGCAGCCGCGAACGTAGCTAAAGGAGACAGGAAGGTCGTGGCGCTCACCGTCTCGTGTTCGGCTGCAAAGTTGCTGGCCGACGACAAGGACTTGTGGTTCCTTGACTCAGGATGCTCCCAACATATGACCGGCCGCAAGGAGTGGTTCACGGTGATCCGTGACCCATCTGCAACGAAATCGGTCAAAGGGTTTGATGGTTCTATGCAGGAAGTTGCCGGTGTTGGTGAGGTTTTGCTGGAGGGCACTAACGGCTTGCGTGTGACCCTACATGATGTCCTCTTTGTGCCGGGAATGAAGGCCAACTTGGTCTCCCCTGGGCAGCTCTTGGACAAGGGAGCAAAGATGCAAACCGAGGAAGGTGTCACTCGCATCATCGCATCAGGAGGTCAAGTGGCTGCAGCGGCACGATACGGCCATCGCTTTCACTGCCTTGACCAGAAACCAGGGCCAGCAAGGAACGGTGCAAAGGCTGCAGCGGCATGCAACGGCACGCCGGCTACAGCGGCATGCACCAATATGGCGGGTGGAGCGGCGAGCAATGGCACAGGGGCTGCAGCGGCATGCAACGGCAGGGCGGCTGCGGCGGCATGCAACGGCAGGGCGGCTGTGGCGGCATGCAATGGCACGGCGGCTGAGGTGGCATGCAATGGTATGCTTAAGGCATTTGCTGAGGTGGTGTCAAGCGCACCGGAAGAGAATGACGAAGCGGCCAGCCTCACAACACATGCGGTGGGGACCGAGGCGATGCTCAACCTGCCGCACACTTACCTTGAGAATGACCATGCTGGTGCGGTGCAGTGGACAGCCACAAACAGTGGCATGCTAGGCATGGACCTAGAAAAAGGAGGGGAGGACACGTCGAGCGCCTCCTCCGAAGAAGCCAAACTCACTCGTCAAACGCTTCCGCTGCCTGACGAGCAAGAGGGGGAGGTTCTTGGGATGGTCCATGGCCCTGAGCAGAATCACTCGTCATTATAATCCCAGTGCCGTCCGTGCAAGGGGGCGAACAACCGTTTGATCGTTCGGTTGACCCTACGGGCAGAAACGCAACCATGGCTATGCCAGCTGTCTGTCCATCCTTAGCTGCTGGCTTGGCACCTGTGGGACCAGAGGTTGGTCCCTCTGCGGATGAACGTCGTGCAGCTGATGAAGACAAGAAAGGAGAGGCAACGGACCTGAAATCGGCGGCAGCCCAAGGGAAGGACCCCATACCCACGGTTCTGCCCCTCCAGCCCAATCCCCCACCCCCATGTCATTCTAGCAGGTCCAACAAGGGTATGCCACCTGTACGCTTTCCCACATCAACCATGATGGCCTCGGATGCGGATGATGGCAACAACATGTACGACATGGCATTCCTTACTAGAGTTGTTTATGGCACGGACATCTACTATGATGTGGAGTACTTCGATAAGGCTGTTGAGGAGGAAGGGGGATTGGGGAGCGTCATCATCAACCTCGGAGTAATCTTGACAGGACCTGAAGGCAAGGTGGTGGACAAAGGTCTCCTTGTGGTGGAATACATGTCATCCACGGAAGGCTATCTTGGTCTGCAGATTGTGCGCGACCGCCCCAACAAGACACTCCTCCTGCACGAGAATGCATATGGGGCGAAGGTGCTGCAGCGGTTCTTCAAGGGGGCGCCACCGAAGAAGCAGCCGATCACCCCTCTTTCCTCTACCAGCTTTGTCATGGAGGATGCTGAGCTGTTTGCCGATCGCACCATGACCAACCGCCTTGCAACAGGTACACACCTCAGAACGAATGCGCATTGGTATGAGCTCTTCCGCACACTCTCCTACTGGGCTGCCTCACCGGACAAGGGGCTGCTGTTCAAGGGAGGACCAAAGAGTTTGACTCTCGTGGGGTATGCATATGCAGATGATGCACGCGACAAGGAGAACCGGTTGTCCATGAGAGGCTACCTCTTCAAGCTTGGCAGAGCTGCCGTTTCATGGCAGGCCAAGAAGCTGCAGGGTGCGACCAAACTTTCCTCCACCGAGAGCGAGCTTGTGGCTGCGGTGGAAGCGGGAAAGGGGGGGCGCAAGCTAAGGTTCCTGCTGTGGGAGTTTCAACTGCTCAAGATGGGTGTCCCCACCACCCTGTACGTCGACAACATGTCAGCAATGCAGCTCAGCCAGGCGGGCGGGCTGCAGGGGCGCATGAAGCATGTGGACCATCGCCACATGTGGCTACAGGACATGGTACGCATGAAAAATTAGGAGGTGCAGCACATCCCTAATACGGCGCAGCCCGCGGATTTCTTCACAAAGTGGCTCGACAAGGCAGCCTTCAATCGATGCTGTGCAGCAGCCGGGCTGGTCCAGCGTGCTCCTGAGAGCAAAGGGGCGTGTTAGAAGGAAATGTTGTCATGAGCAACAAAATGTCTGCGTTGGGACTCGAACTCGTGACCTTCAAATCTGTCCTAAAAGTGTCTCAGGACAGATTCGGGACAGTTTCTGCTAAGGCGCTAGTTATGGTGCACGCGAGTTTCGAACTGGAGACCTTTCGATTCAAGTGTCCTGAAAGTGTCTTGTCAGGACAGTTTGGGGACAGTTTTGGGACAGATTGGGGACAGTTTGGCGAAATCGGTCTCGCGTCGCGTTCGGTTTGAAACTCGGCAGTGAAGTGTCGAAGTCAACGGAATTCGCACGGGAGTTACAGTCGGTGGTCGACGGAATTATTCTCGTGGAAATTCTCGTCTACAGAATTCCAGTCAATGGAATTCGCTCAGCGAAATTCAAGGCTTCGAATTTCGCGTCGACGAAATTCAACGTGCGACCCGGGTCGACACTTTCTTGTATGCTTTTATTTTGTATTGCGTCCTAATATAAAACCAGAGAGCACAAACCAGAAGTTAGCCAAGTCATTACCACTGCTATGTTTGTGTGTATCTCTGGCTTTAGTAGACCGTTTCCTGTAATCTTTGGTGCATTGGAATCGTGCTTCTGCGCTTTATCAAGTAGCTTAAGTAGTGGAATTCTACACGTCTCATGCTGCCGTACCTCTTCCCTAAGCTAGCTGAGTTCCACAATGTTTCTGACCTCATGACTCACCTTCGCTCTAGTGAGACTCGCTACTGCGCCGCTCTCGAGCCAACCTTCCTCGCTGCGAACCCCCCCCCCCCCCCCCCCTGTATATCACACTGTACTTCCTCGTCACGTGCCTCCCTGACTCCCTTCACACTGTCAGGGACCACTTTCTCGCCCTCGACCCCATTGAACTCACACTTACCTCGCTGGAGAAGTCTCTTCTTGATGCTGAGACCAGTACCAACGCTGTCGCTTCCTCTCGCGGCACTCCCTGCTCCCCCTTCTTTGAAGGGTGTGCTCCCTCCCCTCTCCTCCCCTCTGTTGCTACTGCTACTCGTTTCGGCCTCCTTGGTGCTGAGGAATTTGGTGCTGTGTCTGCTCCTAGTGGGAGGCGCAACAACAGCAAGGGCAAAGGGGGTAAGGGTGATGGGGGCGGCACTAGCGGTGGTGGTGGCGTGGGTGGTGGTGGCGGGGGTGGAGGCGGTGGGGGTGGAGGCGGTGGGGGTGGCTCTGGAGGTGGAGGCAGTAGAGGCGGACGGGGTGGTGGAGGCAGCGGAGGTGGAGGAGGCGGCTGGGGTGGTGGAGGCAGTGGGGGCGGTGGAGGAGGTCGTGGTGGAGCTGGCAAGGGTGGAGGCCATGGCGGTTCCGCCCGTGGCGCTGGAGGCTATGGGAGTGGACAACAGATGCCCACCTCCCGGACAACCCCACCACTTAGTAGCTTCATGAGTGGGTTGTCTAGCGTGATTCCTCTAGGGGCTCTGGTCGCTGTCGGTTTGTTAGGCGCACAGGGCCCAAGAAGGGTCATACCTGCGGGAAGGGACACACTGAGTATCGTTGCTTCGGCCATCTCGAGGATGCCTAGGTGGATGAGTATGGTGATGAGCTGGAGGTCCCCAACTGGCTGAAATTGCAGGGGATGGGAGTAGATGTGTATGCTCTAGACTTTGCAAAGATCAATGCAGCCATCTATGTTATGTATGTGACTGAGCTTAGTGTTGAGGGTGTGTATTACTCGTGTGTACCTTGCGATGCTGGTATCAATGCTGCTGCTCCAGGTACCAGTGAGCCGGCTGCAGCTCTAGGTGCTGCTATTACAGGTACTAGTGAGTCTGCTGTAGCTCCAGGTGCTAGTGCATCTGCTGTCATAGGTGCTAGTGATTCTGCTACCTCCGTTGAGGCCCTGCACACTTTCACACTTGACTCAGGCGCGTCTCATTGCTTCTTTCGTAACTGCACCGCACTCACACCGCTAGCTGCACCTGACCCAGTCTCACTGGCTGACCCCTCTGGGGGTCCAGTAGTCGTACGAGCCTCCAATGTCCTCCCATGTCAGGTCTCCACCTCCCCTCGTTCTCGACAAACCTGGTGAGCAACGCCGCTCTTCAGGATGTCTGTGTTGAAACCTTTACTCCTGGAGGGCAGCTTGTGGCAATCTGTACGCGCTCCCGGAATGGCCGTCACCTTGTTCACGCTGAGGAGAGTCACTCTACAACGGTGGTGAGCTAGACTACGGGGGGTAGGCACGAACTACCAGGAGTGATCGTAGCTTTGCTTAGTTCCTTAGTGCTTGAGCATTCACGGGAGAAATCGGAAAGAGTTTCACTAGCAAAGTTGGAATTCCATAATCAGTCCAACAAGAGATGGCAACAATGACTACATCAGGCACCTAGCAACTCTGCAGCTAGCTTGGTCGACCGCCAGCACAGCTTGGTCGACCGCCTGCCAGCGTTGCGTAGAGGAGCCACGCCAACACTCCAAAAAGGCAACCTGCCAACAGAGCAGGTCGACGGCGTGCCAACGCTGCAGCAGAGCGGCTGTCTAGCGTTGCCCCGTAGAAGACAGCAGTGTGCACGCTCATAGGTGCACGCAGACAATTGGCCCGACTTGCCTCATTGGGTATCCGTCGGTTTTTGTCTGCGCTTGACAAGCCACATCGACTTCGGGATACCAGCCCGTAGTCCTGTGCCATCGTGACCTCGACGACGTTCGCGTGCCTCTGCAGAACTCGTCGAGCAGATTACCCGGTCGACCTGGTCAACCACCAGGTGCTTCCGGTCGACCACCACTGCATCTGGTCGACCACCGGGTCCCTTTGGTCGACCACAGCTCCCGTCGAGCTACCCCCTGGTCGACGGACCTCTTTTGTTGACGAGAACAGTCAACGGTTGTCGCCGAGCTCCCCTCGTTGACCGCTGCTCACTTGTCAGGTCGACAGACTGCTCTCGATTGAGCTGCCCCTTCTGGTCGACGGCCCACCCGTAGCCCAGACCAGTCAGTTGCAGCTGTCGAGCTCCCTGGTCGACAACAACACCACAGCGGTCCCTTGCAGCTCGACAAAGCCTGTCGAGCAGCTCCCTCACTGTGAACAGTCGGCTGCTACTCCCGTACATCCGACCAAGTCGTCGGCATTGCTCAAGCGAGGGCGGGGCCAACACTCCATTCCCATTGACACTCCCCTGCCGCGCTCACGATTGGGCCTCCAGCCCACACGGCAGTACTCCACGGAGAAAGCTCGTCCTCGGCGTGCACCCCACACCCAGCACGCCGTCACCGAACCAGCAGTGCAAAAGGGCACGGCACCTACAGCTGCACCTCGTCGTCGCCGTCGCCAACGTCGGCCAGACGAGCTTGGTCGATGACGACAGAGCACCGGTTGAAAGCCGGAAAGTGCAGGGTCTTCATCAGGAAAGTACTGCAGTGCCTTCATCAGGAAGTCCGCCGGCTGTTCGATGGTCGGGATGTACTTCAGCACGAACTTCCCGCGATCACCATGTGCTGCAGCCAGGCATAGCGTCGCATGTGCTTGAGGTTGCTCGTCAGCCCCAAGCCCTCAGCGACCATGATCGCCGACTTGTTGTCCACGTGTAGGACGGTCGACTTCCCAGCGTCGAGCAGCTTGAACTCTGCTAGGAGGAAGCAAAGCTGACGCCCCTCCTTGCCTGCATCCGTTACCGCCACGTACTCTGACTTGGTCGACGACAATGTCTCGCACTTGATGCGCGAGCTCGACCAGGAGACGGTGGCCCCTCCGTAGACAAAAACGTAGCCTCCCGTGCTCGTCCGGTTCTGCTTGTCGCCCTTGTCATCGGCATCCACATAGCCGATCGGCTCGAGCGACTCTGGTCCACCGCCGAACTCCAGGGCGGTGTCGCGCGTGTCAGCGAGGTAGGTGAGTCAGCGGTCGACCTTGCGCTAATGCTGGTCGCTCCTCACCGTGAGGCCGCTCCCCAGCTTGCTGCAGGCGAACGCAATGTCCGGCCCGTCGTCGTCGCCGTGAACTATAGCGAGCTGAATTTCTGCCGGTACTCCTCCTCCTCGCACTCTTAGGCCTCCTCGTCGTCGAACGTTAGCTCTGCATAAGTGTCGACCAAGACCGGCGTCTTCGGGAATCGACCGCCCTGCTCCTTGTCGATGAACCGCTTGCGCAACTTGTTGGCGTAGCCCTGCTGGTGAAGCCACAGCTTCCTTGCCGGCCTATCGCGCATGATCTCCAGCCCAATGTAATTCACCACCGTCAAGATCTCTCGCAGCTCGAAGGCGGCCACCAGCAGCTCCTTCAGCTCCTTCAGCATCGCGGTGCTGCTGCTGGAGGTGAGCAGGTCGTCGACATAGACCAGCACCCAGCAGGTCATTCTGTCGTCGCCGTCCTTGAAGTAGAGCGCCTCGTCGACCTGGCTCTTCTTCCAGCCAGCGCCCAGCAGCACACTGTAGAGAGCTCTAAACCACAGCAGCGGCGACTGCTTCAGCCCGTAGAGGCTCTTCAGCAGCTTACACACCCGGCCGGTCCCGTGGTCGAAGTAGTCCGGCTGGTATATGTAGAGCACCCTGTCGAGCTTGCTTTGCAGGAAAGCGTTCTTCATGTCGAGCTGCGTTAGGGTTGAGGTCAAGGACGGCGACGATGCTGAGGAAGATCCTCAGCGTAACGTAGCTGCTCACCGGCGAGTATGTCTCGTCGTAGTCAGCACCGTACACCTGCGTGAAGCCCTTCACGACCAGCCTTGCCTTCTCGCGCTCGACGGTGTTGTCGATGCGGTACTTGGTTGTCAGCACCCACCGGTTCTTCATGATGTTCACCCCGCGTGGGCGTTCGACCAGCTCCCTAGTCCCCATACCGATGAGGCTGGGAATCTCTTCTTTCATGGCGGCCTTCACAGCCTCGCCCTTTGAGCTCGACAGCGCCTCCTTCACTGTCATCGTGGCGATGTCCCAGTGGTGTTTGGGGTCGGTATGCACGTCGGGGTCGAGCTCTGGCGGGTCTTCATCCTCATCAGTGTCGTCGTACAACAGGCGGTCGTCGACCTTGTTGTACACTGTGGTGAAGGCATGTGGCGGTAGGCACGCGTGGAAGCTCAGCCGTTCCGGTGGCCGTCGAGCTCGACCTGTGCGTCGCAGCTCAGGCTTTGTTATCTGTACTTCCACCACGTCCCTGTCGGTGGACTCCTCACCCGCCGACTGCTCCCCTTCCTCGTCAATGTCCTCGTTGTCGACCAGCTGCTTCGACCCTTTGACCAGCTGCTCGCCTACTGCTGACTTCGACAGCTCCCCTATCGACCGCCCCGGCTGCTGCTCCCCTGTCGACTGCACCCCTACTGTTGCCTCCTGTTCAACCGGCTCCCCTGTTTGGTGCTCCCCTGTCGTCGACAACTTCCCATCCTGGTCGACGAGCTTGGCGCCTTGTCGACCACCGGCATTGCCACTGGCCGGCACCACAGGCGATGCCTCACGGCTCCCCTCATCGCCGGTGGCCGACACAGGTGTCGACGCAGACCGATCTGCGACGAGGGAGGGAGGAGCAAGGACAGGGGTAGGTGGAAGAACCTCCACAACATCATCATCCACAGGCTTGTTGACCTCGGTGAGCAGCGGAATCGTCGACGTCGAGGTGTCTGTCGGCGAGTGTGCCTGCGTCCGCCCCGACGCCGGCCCATACGTTGCCTTCCATACCTCCAGCGATAGCGTCTCGTAGAAGATCACCTCGACCGACGTGACCACCTTGTTGTCGGTCAGGTCGAGCACCTCCCAGCCCTTGCTCTCCGGCAACACACCCAGGTGAAGTCCTCAACGAGCCTTTGGCGCCAGCTTCCCACCGTGCTGCTGCTCAAGAACCATGAATTGCACCATGCAGCCCCAGACCCGCGCCAGCGTGAGATCGGGCTTCGTCCCGGTCAGCAGCTGGTGCGGAGTCGTCCCCGGCAGCGTCGTCGACTGCTCCAAGCAGTTGCGCACCCAGACAGCCTGTCAAAGAGCGAGGTGCCACCAGCGGTGCTGCATGCCCATGTGCAGCAGCATCGTCCACACAGACTCGACGACGGTGCGCATCTCCCGCTCAGCCATGCCGTTCTGCTACGGAGTGTAGGGGCACGTCAGGTTATGGACGATCCCCTTCCCGCCGACGAAGTCGGTGAACGCCTTCCTAAGGAACTCCCCTCCTTGATTGGAGCGAAGCGACAGCACCGACTTCTTCATGTCGTTCCACTAGCACCAGCCACTTCTGGAACTCCCGCAGCACATTGCTCTTCTTAGCGACCGGCATTGTCCACACGAACCAAGTATGGCGGTCCTTCAGCAGCAGGAAGTACAAGCTGCCATCCTTGGCAGCCACCCGAAATGGCCCGCACAAGTCAATGTGCATGACAGCCAGTGCCACCTTGGCGTCCGAGCCCTTGTTGGGAAAGGTGTGCCGCGCCAGCTTTCCTCCGACGCACGAGACACGCAGCGGGTCTGCTCCGTTCGACGGCGTGATGTCGAGCCCAACATCAACTTCATGCTTTGCCAAGCTCTTAATCGTGTCGACGCCGACGTGCGCGAGCCTCGCATGCAACCAGTCAGGGGTCGACGTCGTCGCAGAGACGATCGTCCGTAGAGCCACCACCTCGGTCAACGGCGACCGCGTCGAGCAGGGACGAAGGTCGGTGCAGAGGACTCGTCCGGTGTAGCGTGCTCGACCGAGCACCTCCCCGGTCACTGTGACGAGCAACATCCCGTCGCCGTCGCCCTGCAATTGCACTCCGCTCTCCTTCAGTTGGCCAGCTGACAGCAGGTTCCCCTGTACACCCGGAACGTAGAGCACGTCGGGGATGAGGACTTGCTTCCTTTCCTCCCCTTGTAGAGCAACGGTTCCGCGACCCTCGACAAGCTGCAGTGCCCCATTGAATCCACGTATGTGCTTCACTCTGTCGCTCGGCGCCATGTCGGCAAAGACTGCCTTCGTCCCCATTAGATGGTGGAAGCACCCGCTGTCGAGCAGCACCACCATCGGGTTGGCCTGCACAGCTGCCGCCACCGCCTGGAAGTCCTCACCAGCCTCCGGCGCCAGCAAGACCATCGGCTCCACCACGCCGACCATCGAGCACGACGCCTCCCCATCGT